CTCGCAATGACTGGAACCACAAATCAGGGACCTGCTTTAGCTCAAACGAACGTATAGCGACTATCGAAGTGACAAGGTTTAACACCAATTCTCTTCCTAGAAATTCGCAGGTGATATAATAACCCGAAGACGTGTAAAAGGGCACCTTATTGGTACATGATCGAAGCACCGAGCAAGTCAAAAGGGGAAATATGGTGGCCACGTTGCGCAAGCATCCGCTACGGAGAAAACTAAAATATGTCCCAAATTGGAAGTGACTTCGGTCTCACGACAACATATTCGATACTTCCATTCAAAGGCAACACTGCAGATCAGCAAACAAAAAGGAAAACTGCAACAGAGGCAGGAGACATAGACGTGGGCACCGTCACAGACGTCGTTGGGGGCAGTGTTTGTCGGGGAGGGGAGGGGCAGAGAAGTAGCAAATGGAGCTCATGGGCGCTTCGACGGCGAGGTCATATAACGTCCATGGGGAAGGGGGAGGGAGGGAGGGAGGGAGGGGGGCAACAGAAAATACATTAAATATTTCCCAGTAGCGGCGTATACAGAATTTCGCCACGGAGATGAGGAGGGAGGGAGCACAAATGCACAGATCGACTACGAAAAGCTTTTCGCGCACCAGACGTGCGAAATATCTTTATGCTTGCATGGCGTCTACCAGCATCGCCTGCTTTTAACCTATTCTTACGAGTTTTAATTTAACTTGATTTAATATTGTCAGCCAGGGTTGTCACTTTCTAAAATCGGTGGGGGGGAAGGGGCCACGCCAATAAACTGACCTAATCTTCCCTAAATCCTGATTTCTCCCCAGATTTCGGTCACTTTTTTTGCGTCCCTGCCGTCAAAATTAAAAAAGAAAACAAATATTTAGCCAGTTCCAAAATTGCTTGCTGTTGGGGAACGACTTAAAATTTGATGCGATGTGATGATGTGATTGTGATGTGGTTGTGATGATATATGATGACGATAACGATAGCGATGCGTTTAGGACCTGGTGTACCAGCAGTTCGGACACTTGCTGCATTTCATTGGCTCGACATCCCATTTTTCCTCATATAAATTGATGCAGGGGGAGGGGAGAGACTCAGAGGAGCATCGAGCAGGCTCGAGTCAGGATTGGGGGAGGGGGGGGGGGGGGCGAGGGCTCAGCCTCCCGAAAGTGTACGAAGTGATACCCCTGTGTCCGAATCTATTCATAAGCTTCTCAGAGCATTCAACATTTGATCGCAGGGGGGGAGGGGGGGAGAGCAGTACTTACCCCTTTCTTTAACGGACTCCAGTACTCCCGCCGTTTCCAGTGTGGTTAATGCGCGGAAATAGAACATAACGAACAATTTCACTTGAAGCCTCATACCTTTTTGGTGCAAAAGTCGAACATGTGTATAAGTTCATGCACCAGGATTCCCTGCACCACGCTTTCTTTCCGGGCAACGTTTTGACAGACGACAATCTGTAAAAAAAACAACACAAACAGCATTAGATGCCGCAAACAGCCCGTTCATAAGCTTCATACTATCTATATACTATATATATATATATATATATATATATATATATATATATATATATATATATATATTCATAATATATACTATATTCACAATACATATTCATTACATATGCACATATGTATATATATAATATATTATATATATATAATATATATATATATATATACATGCATAAGCTCCGTTTATTGCGACCATCGAGTGGAAGGCATTAACCTGAAGACAAAGCCGAGTCAAAACCAACATGTCGTTATCCGTTCCAAAACCCCACATATCGCACAAGCCCAACCACACAGTCTGATACTCAACGAGATCGCACGCCCTATAAACTATGCACCACGTGACGACCAGCTGGGCTCGGGACGTAAGGAGCTCTGGTGGCATAAGGATGCCCGCCATATCACCTTAGCCACAGTGGGGGGACGAAAAATGGAGGCAACGCTGATAAGCGAGGATACTAGCATTTAACTATTTGTATATTGTAATATATCAACAACCTTTGCAAGTGCGGTTGAATGAATATGTGCGCAAAATCCGTTAGGCAAGGTTTGCCGCACGTACCTGATTTGTGGAAGGGTCATAGCCACCAGTGACGATGTGTTCACATGTCTCACAGGACACATTCCTGCTCATATCCACTGGACTGTGAAGAAAAAGTCACCGGTACCATGTACTGAATGTTGGAGGTCATGGGATCCAAAGCATGACAGGCCACGGGCCCTCAGACATGTGTCTGAAATCATGGTAGGAGATCACATGTACGTGGAGAACTATGTCGATCCTTTCGGCCCGAAGGGAAATAAACAGCATTCCTGTGCCTTATGACTACTGGTCGCTTACTGGTTGTTGTGTTTGTGTTGTCATTGCCAAACAGACTCCCAGAGTCAGATACCAAACAAAGTAGAATTAATCTGCCCTGAAACATGGCTAGTTAGCATTGCAGATAGTGCTGTGAGGCAAAACAAATAGCATTTTGACTTGGGCAACCTCTCATGCATCATGTCAAATCATGTTGTCCCTGAACACCAAATACAACATTATCAAGATGTACATGAGGAAATAAAATTTAAAGTTAGAATTGTAAAAAGTGAAAACACTTACCACCCTGCCGATTTCAAGGCATCTAGCATTAGTCTTACTCCATAACCTGAAACACAGCAATCAATAAACAATCACACAAATATCACAATCATGTCTACCCACACGCCAGTATGGCCGTGCTAAAAACACCAGTGCATCATTTTTTCCTCATAAATCATGTTGTATACACTCAACCTGAAACACAGGCAACCCTAAAAGTAGCAGGGTGGTGTGATGTTTCAACTTATGAATCCCAGCAAACGACATGTCAATAGCAACGGAAGCCCCACGCAAACCGTCCAACTGGCCTCGCAATGATTGGCTTCACCCGGCCAGTGATTTTTGCTGACCAGCATCATTAATACTCCATGATTGAAAGCATGGGGTCCAAAGCATGGCACATCACATGTCCTCAGACATGCGTCTAGAATAATGGCTAGAGATCACATCTACGATGGAGACCCAGGTCGATCTTTCCGGCCAGCTGGGAAGCAAACAGTACTCCTGTGCCTTATGATTACTATGACTTATCCATGCCATTCCTCTTTGCCTCAGCTGTCATCTTGAATGAAATCACCACTCATTATCCTGAATGCCCGTAAAGTCCCAGCCTCACTCATAGTGTGTCCACTGTCACTCGCGCTTGCCAAACATCCCATGCAGCAGGCACGATGCTTATCCTCATGGCACCAATGATGATCACTGATCAGTGATGGCCAATGATGGTCATTGATCATTATCCCAAATACCTGCCAAATCCCAACCTAGTCCAGTGTGTCAACAGCCATCCGCAATTACCAATCGTTCCTTGCAGCAGCCAGAAGCTTGTCCTCACTGAACCAATGCCTGAGCTGTCCACACAGAAAACAATCCCAGCGAGCAAAATATCCCAGTTGTTGCATGCCATTTTCAGAAACGTTACACAGATCACTGGTTGATTCCCCACAAATGATGCAGAGACTTACTTTTCTTGAAGCAGTTGAAGACATTTTTCTCACAAGTAATCTGATCACTTAGGTTTTCACCCTCATGAAGCAACATATGCTCCCAAAAACCTGGCTTATACTTTCCACCATGTCTTTCAGGATACAAATCATAACCAAAATCTTCTTTGTCTGTGCCTACTGAACTCTGCTTGTCACCATCTATGCCGTCACCATGCGACGCACTGTCCTGGCAAGGTTGGTCAGCATTTTTATTCCCAGTTTCTTTTACAGCTTCAGAGGACATGACTTGCAAATATCAATGCTGAAACAAAAGACTGCTGTTAATGTCATGCACAGAAATGCTAACTGCAAGCCATTACCAGCTACATCTAGTGACAAATGAATGAGTATTATCATCAGTTGCTACTTTGATGAATCTTGCACATAACAGCTCAAGCAAGGCTGTCAATGTGAAGCTAGTATATTAGCTGAGTATTATAATCACAACATTTGTAACATATTTGGGATATAATGGACACAACACACAATTTAGAACACACTAATGTGTTCCATAAAACAAGTTAGTCTGCAGTTTTTGATATGGTTACCACTTATTTCAAGATTCTTAGCAAATAAAATGCCAGCAATGACCCATGCTCATCTGTAATTTGACCCTGGCTAGAGGGACTTCTGTACAGGCAGGCAACCAGCTAGCAGTCACATCCTGCAAGTCGTCACAATCCAGTTTCTCCACAAATGAGGAGCCTTGGAAGGTGATGACCACAAATACCGCATAGACTTCTGCAGCATCTGGGATAGGGGGTAGGGTGTATGTCTCTGAGCAGTGACTCTGTCAAATGCTCCTTCAACCACGCTTCATGCAAATGACACTTATTTTATTATTACAGAAAGAAGACGTTCACTGTCCGTTATCTGCCTGCTATCACAACTTGTTGGGCATGACATGCTACTGCATGCTACTACTACTCAAAACATGCACTTACGTTCACTAATGCTATAAAAAATTGTACCACAACCCTGCACTGTAACTCGCTCCTAACACGCCTGCCCCAAGGCGCCTGCCCGGCGCACCGAGGCCGGCAGACAGTGGTGAATCTGAATGAAGGTTCACCGTTTACCATAACTCCCGTGAATCTCTCATCAAGAGCTCATGAAATAAAATTCAGTCTATTTTAAAACAAATGTTTTTCAGCACTTTTTAAGCAGCATAAAATCACATAATTCAATTTAATGTTAATGTAAAACTAAATTGTTTACCAATATGTCATATTGACCCAAAATAGCGAAATACAAGATAAATAACTACATTGTATTTGTAGGGTCGCTACATATTTGTTTGGTATTTACCGATAACTAAGCAGTCGGCAGCTATGCTGCAGAAGAGGCGATTGCTGCTTTATCGCAAAAAAGTGTGGTGACGCTCGTGGTGAGTGCAGCGAGGCTCTATGCGGTGCATGTGGGTTGGATGGAAGGGTCAGTGCTTATAATCCATACAAGGGATTTGTGAATTGCGCAGTTTTTTTCAAAAGAGCGAGCCCGGGTTTAGCAGGTGGGTCGCTGCGAACTCGTAATCGGTTGCGCTTTGAAGCTTGTTCGCCAGGTGGACAAATATTGTTGGAAAGGTGCCGTGTAACTGTCTTTGCAACTTTTGCCCCATCCAACAGGGTCTGCATGTGCTTGGTGCACTGGTATATTTCTCAATGAAATATGTTGATTTCTGTTTGTGAAATTCTGCATATGCACAGCAACAGGCATACACTTAAAGAACATCCTCCCTTTCATTCCTACCACTTGTTTTAAAGTGCTCTAGCCTGTATAGCTACCTTTCTCTGACTGTGAATAGAATAGCTTCCTAACTGTGAATAGAGGAATGATTTTCCCTTATCAGGCCCTGATTACACATGACATATTAAAAAGCTCCCCCATAGACCGTCCAATGAAGAATGTCAAGTTCTTAAAGACATATGCACATGCAATGCCAGACAGATTACATACTATGATGTTAAGCTTTGCAACTAATTCCCCTGTAATTTTGCATTGAAATGTGTGTGAATTTGATCAAATTGAAATGAAGACATTGTTGTGAGCAAGAACACCATTCTGACCAACCCAGTGTACATGCAAGCTGTGAATTAAGGAAGTCATTTTTGTTCATGGATTTAACTTTCAACTTTCCCTGAATACTGTCATGTTACACTGCAAGGTAAAATGTTGTTATGTGCTTCCAGGTGTTTCTGGACCCACCAGTAGGATGCATCATCATCATCATCAAGTCAATCATACCACAAAAGTAATTTTGTCATAGCTGCATTTCATTTGCATGCTGTGCTATTCATTTATCCTGGTACATTTGCTAAGTAACCCTCCAAAGAATAATGGCATTGCCATTGAGATGCTTAGTGAGAAAAAATTGGTTGTTCTCAACAAGGGTCCCCACAATTTGTACTCAATCCATACCTATTGTGTCTCCAGGCCAAATCAGCCTCAGATAAGAAATATTTCACCAGACATGGTCCACCCTGTAATACATCTACATCACCATCACCACTCACTCCAAAAAGCAGTGCACCATCCCCTGTCGCGTCTCCCTCGGACAGCTCCGGCGATTCCGACGCCACCTCCTCTGACGGCGAGTCGTCCTCTGGCGAGAGTGTGGAGCTGCTGGAGAACCTGTCGGCGCTGGCGGAGGCGGTGGACGCGCCGCCGCCAGAGCAACCCACCATCTGCTGCATGTCCGGCTGTGCCAACTGCGTCTGGATCGAGTACGCCGAGCGACTGGCGGCGCACTACCGCGACGGCGGCGAGGCCGGCCGGCGCGCCATCGAGGCTAATGTGACCGACCCCAGTCTTAAGGCCTTCCTGCTGCTGGAGCTCCGCACCCGGTGACGACCGTTCCGAGCGGGGCGCGCACTGGGCGGCGCAAAAGGTCCCCGCGGGGAGAAGGCGCCACTGAAGACGATGGAGGCGCCATCTCGCCTACTGCGACGTCGTGGCGTTTCGGTGAGGCGCCTTAGCGTGCGATGAGATGGATCGGCACAGGGAATTTTAATGGGTTGGTGTTGTGACGCATTCTAGTCTTTCATGCTTCAAGGCTATGGTTATATGGTGGGATTGTTGGCTTGCGTCGTTGGTATTAGATGCTGGCAGGTAGTCCTCAGTGGCCGTTGCATTATATCATACACGACGGTGAACGTGCGCGGTTGCGCATGAGACACCGCAGTCCAGAGTGGAATGAGTGTATTTAAAATAATACTATCTGTACCTGTGACATACCGGTGAGATATTATTTAATATATTTAATAGTCGTCATCCGCTTTCCTTCCCGGAAGACTGCCGTATCCGACCACATCCAGCCGATAGGCGACAAGCAGCCAAGGGTCGAGTCCTTAGACATGTGTCTGCTTATGGCACGCACGATGCAGGGCTCTGGTGGGCTAGTCTACCACGACCTGAACAGTACCACGGAAGAACCGTCGCCGTTCCGACCTCTCTTGAACCCCCACACAAACCATTCAGAGGATAGTTCGACCCATCTGGTCTCAACCCAAGGAGTGTCACGATGGTCACTAGACGCTACATGAGTGCCATAATAGCCTCGTTCATCCTGGGTATAATGTAACCGATCCATTTGGAATACAATGAAACAAACCCTGACAAACGCGACTACGCCGTCTCCATGCCGTTCTGCTCCTTAACCGTTCCCTCGCAGGCATCCAGGATTCCTGCAAATGGAAGGACGGTGCCGTCAGGTTGCCAAATCCACGTAGAGCTCATCTCTACTGACTTGACTGACTATACTTTGCTTATTTAGGACGTACTGCGGCGTTGGTCCTGGCAATGATGATTGTACATTGCAATCAACTACTTCACCGTGCAACAATCAGCCCAACACACTCACAGACGGGTACTCGAGCAGGACAGCAACAGGAGGGGACAGGAACATGCCACACCACGCCCCTCGCTATTGCCCCCTTCCTTAACACATGAAAGATCGCATGTCCGTCCGTGGCGTCTCCGTCCATAAATTATGTTGCACAATTCCCCCCCCCCCCCCCGACCCAGTTATGAACTGGCTGCGTTGAACGAAAAGTCCTCATTGGCTAGGCTACGTCAACTGTAACGTCCCAAAAAGGTACTGTCAGTTTGGCCCCCAGTTGAGCTGGAGTTGCAATATAAAGGCAGACGTATTCGTTGTCACGAGAGGAAGCCAACGGTATCCAAGGGCTGACACACCACAAAAATACTTGGGCATTATCTACCACCATACGTGAGCGCAACGCTACGCTGTCCAAATCCCCTACCCCTTGTTACGCTTCGATTACGCTCCATTATTACCCCTCTCCCATGCGTAGCGTAATACATGAACTGCCGTTGCCCATTGGGCTCTAGCACTCACTGGACGCGATGTCGACGTATCGCCGTGTGGTGCTGGTCGGCTCCTCGGCCAGGTCGAGGCCCTCGTCGCAGCTGCGCGCCACCCTGCCCGGCAAGACGTATCTCAGCGCTGCGCCCCACCGAGACACGTCTCAGCGCTGCGCCCCACTGGGACACACCTCAGCGCTGTGCCCTACTGAGACGCACACCCCACTGAAACACGTCTCAGCGCTGCGCCCCACCGAGACACACCTCAGCGCTGCGCCCTACTGAGACACACGCCCCACCGAGACACCTCAGTACTGCGCCCCACCGAGACACCTCAGTGCTGCGCCCCACTGGGACACACCTCAGCGCTGTGCCCTACTGAGACACCTCAGTGCTGCGTCCCACCGGGACGAGCCTTAGCGCTGCGCCCTACTGAGACACACGTCCCACCGGGACACCTCAGTGCTGCACCCCACCGAAACGCACGACACACCAGCCGCGCGCCGCCCAGCGCATGCTCAGTGCCGCTCAAATCGCCTACAAGTACTCCGGGGTTGGGTGGGGAACCACTGGTGGAGGCGGGTCACGCGAGTTCGCCAACCAATGGCTCCGCCCACACGTGTCCCGCAGGATGATGCCAGTGTGACATCTCTGCACTGTGCCATCTGCTCACCTGGGCCGCGGGTGAACCGGAGGCCGAAACAAAGCAGTGACATGCCCTCTGCCTTATCTCCTAGTGCCTCACCTCGGGCTCCAGTGGCATGGAGCTGAGGCAGGTACCTGCACAGAACGCCTCGTCTGCCAACCTACGGTCTAATGCGACTGAGGGGAGGTGCGGCACTCGCAAGTCACGAGCTATCTGCTAACCTGGGGTCCAGTGGGATGGAGCCGAGGTACGGCACCTCCATGTCACGTGCCATCTTTTCGGCGCCTCCCGTGCTCGGTGGGAAGATTCTGGTGGTCGTCTGAAAGCCAGCGGGCTCATCATGACGCACAGCTCATGCGTGTCAGGGCGGTCTGGCGGTTAGCAGCTCACCGCGGCCGCCATGTCGAGTCAATCATCTACTAGCAGTGTGTCACGCACACACCTCAAATGCCGTTCCATACAAATCCAGCGCGAAATCCCAGTCGAGTAAACAGAGAAATACCTCTGTTTTTACGTCAAGAAAAAGCGGGCGGCTGTCAACAAAGCATAAATATACTGGTGACCGGTCAAGTATTGATCATGAACATCCGAGGAACCCACTTGTGATCATGAGTACAACCTGAAACGTCATAAACGCAGCCTAATCCGCATCTCCTGCTACATACAGGTTTAGCAACTGTCAACATAAGAACGCTGAATTCATCATGTTATTTTAGCCTGCTTCGGAAACGGCAATTACTTCAGCAACACACAGTATAATGCATGCTGCAGTCCCGTTCCGAGGAGTTGCGTGCAAAACACGCACACACCGACACCACGAATACCCGGAGGGCGTCGGCGGCGTTCACCAACCTCGCACTTGGGGCAGACGAAGGCGGCCATGTTCTCGACCACGCCGAGGACAGGCACGCCGACCTTCCTGCAGAAGGTGATCTCCTTCCTGACGTCGAGCAGCGCCACCTCCTGCGGTGTCGTTACGATGATGGCGCCGTCTATACCACTGTGCCAGTCGTAACGTAAGTTAGTGCGGCGCCGCGAGCAGGTGGCTGGAAACAGCATTACGGAGCAGGAAGAATGCTACCAAAATTACGGGAAATTCCAGATCAAGGCATACCATGCATCCATAAAGCACTGATAAACGCGACCATGTAAAGATTTCATTTAATAACTTAAGTAATTCAAGCAACAATCGAAGCACTTCCTGAGAACAAACTTGACGACTCATTTCGATCACATTCGCATGATTGGCCTTTCAACGCGCATTGATCAGCCGATCCCAACGGGCAGGCATAAATCAGACAGAGCTCAGACACGAAGTATATCCGCACAAAATGTGCACCTTTGCGATCGGTTCCACGACCGCGTTGGCTACGAGCATCGCCTGACCTGGGATAGCCTGCCAACAGGTGTTCGTCCCAGGTGCTCGGCGGTACAGACCCTGTCCTGGGGGAGCCTGGACCCAGACTGCTCACCTGGACTGGAGGTACTGCACCACCGACAGGTGTTCGTCGAGGTGCCCGGCGGCGTGTCCACGATCAGGTAATCGTGTCGCCCCAATCGACGTCCCGTAAGAACTGTTTGATGAGGCCGTTCTTCTTGTGGGGCCGCGCCAGATGACCGCGTCGTCCGGCGAGGCCAGCAGGAAGGCCCACCGACATGACGGCCAGGTTATCCTACCGGCGACACGCGTCACGTGGAGCAGACCGACACCGCGGCGGCGTAATCGTACCGGGGATCGCGATATCATGACGGAGACCTCCTGCTGGCAGGCGGCATGGCAAGGCTCCCACTCCAGGCCAGTTAAACGATGACCACATTATCGGGAATGTAAACGTCACGACGATGACTTGGTCCGTTCCGTCGTCCTCATGTAGAGCAAAATCGTAACTCTTCCTGCATCACGCCAGAATCAGAACGTACAACTTACGGCCTTGCCGTCAACGCCACTCTGGGACCTTCATTGCGTATTGAACGACGTCAACAGCAAGGAAGGACAACACCATTCTTGCCAAAACAAGTGCTTCACACATAATTCATGTGCGGTCCACTCATCGCCCGCCGGCCACGCCGATCTGACCTTTACGAAGACAGGCGACCATCCGGAGCCCGAGTGGTGCACGTTCTCGCCCTCCAGGCCCATGATGCGGGGCACCGACGGGCCGCAGATGTCGATGTCCAGCAGCGCCACCTATCGCGGAGGACACCAGCTCAGAGGCAGCGGCCGCGCGCCGCTCGGCACCGCGCGCTCGGGGGCGCACTCGAGAACCGACGGCACGCGGGGCTACGCACAGCCAGGGTAGTTGAGTTCAAAGAGGAATTAAGGAGATACGGGAATTTGGACACAGTAATTTTCAGGGACAACTGAGTCAGTATGAAATCGCCAGGTGAAAATCTCGCGGCTAGAAATGAGCAAGGCCGGTGGCCAGAAATGAGCAAACATCGCGGCAAGAAATGACCAAAGCGTTAATAGACGAGAATATCGAAATGGAGAACAAATGGAAAAAGTAAACTGACGGACAAAAGCTCTGACTTCTCTCAACTCTCAACTTTTCCAACCCACAAAAAAGCAGCTGGTGCGATGTCCTGCAAACATGGACCTCCATTGAGCGACTTACGCTTTTATTCACATCCATGGATAGTGTTCTGCTGAGCATAGATGAAACTGTTGACTTTCCAACTCCACCTTTTCCGGACAGCACGAGGATCTTGTGTTTCACACATGACAAACGCTCTTCGATCTTTCCAATGTCTGTTGAAAACACAAGCAAGGTGTACTGCAGATATTGCAAGTGGCTACATGGAAAGAAGAAACTAAATGAGTGCAAATCTAACCAACGTCGTGAAAATTTACTCATGCTGTCGTACGTATATCACATATGCTAACAATTCTGACACGGCCGGCATTAACAGCAAACTGATGTGCTCTACTGATGATAACACAGTTAAGACGCTAAAACTATTCCTTTACATAGCGTCCATTTCAACGTTCTGCGGAAGCTTCGCAGATCAATTCTGCGTTCTTCACCCTAGAAACGCACTACCCGGCACATTCACACGATGCGTGGTTTGAGAGGATGCCATCAGGCCATTTCGGTGAGCCGTCCGCGGAAGCCATGGGCGCCGACAACGTGACACGGTGCGGGACGGATGTTCCGACACACCTGGTAATGAGCCGCAGCGGAGTACCGAGCGCTTCAGAGCTTACGTGACCTACCGGGGTCGGGAGCGCGCGCCTGTCCGGAGGCGCAGATCTGCTGGTTCGGACAGCCGGCGCACGAGGAGGCCTTGCCAGCGTCCTCACTCGTAGTGCCCGGGCAGTCTGCGGTGGACAGGCGCTGGGTCACCCAAACAGCTCTACAGGGGGAGGGTCTGCAGTTCCTCAGGGGCTGTCTGCACGGAGATCGCCGTGTGCCATAAACAGACACCATCCAGTGCTTGCTTGACTGATCACTTACAGGGCTTTCTGTCACTGAGCCCATCTGGTCATGGAGTGCCCACTCAGGCTATGAACAATGGAGGGGAATATTGAAAATACTGCAAAACATGAACATTTAGTTTACACATATATCTGCAGAAGCAACATCCAGACCATAGTCCCCTCAGGTAACACTCACATGACATAACCAGCCCCTAACCACTTAGATGTCAAGCATGCATAGTTAAATATGGGAGAATGACCGCAGGTGTACTGTTGTGTTGTAGAAAAGTAGCGCTGGCATTAGATGACAGCAATGCTAGATGTGAAGGCAGAGCACTGCAGAGGGTACTGCAAAATTAGTGGTGACCACCACAATCCATTTTCTGTCCCTATGTCAATACCATTGTGCACTGGTCAGCATGCAGCAGGCCCAAAAGTACATAAACAAGCAATGTAGAGAACTTATTATCATGCCATATGGCCACAGGGGCACTGGAACTGGTACGCATAAGGGGGAATGAACCACAAACTTTATGAAAATGTAACATTGAGGCTATGCATATTGATGGAGAGGAAATAATCAAAAATGGCCATTGCTCCCTCCATCCCCACCCCATTTAGGCAAACAGCATATTCATTGCCTCTCTACAGGTATGTTAATATCCATGTGTGTGTTACCAAATTTACACCATGGCAAACATTAACATTTTGTGCCACACTTGCATGGTAGCATGTTAATGCTACAGCTTACATGACAATGCACCACATGTATTATAGATCATTTCCTTCCAGTTGTTTCTGCTACACAAATAAAACAAAACTGGTGTCAGGAATCTGCCTCAGCAATTGTATTGTCACCACAGCTGAACCACCACCTCACTGGTTGCCAAGAAGCACAACATACAGCACTACATCTTCCTTACATGTCTAAGAAAGAAAATACCAGAAGGAAAGTGATGGGACAAGCAGGCAAAATCATGCCACCAATGCATGACAGTTTATTATGATCAGGCAAAGACATTTTATAGAAAATTTGCAAACAACTTTCCATGCACAAGTCCTGCCCTATCACACAACCGCTCATCTAAGTTTTGAGCTAGTTTCTCTCCATGACACATTTTGAGTTATTACATTATAGGTCACATGTAAAGCAAAATGAATACACATTCCGAAGTGCCATGAACTAAAACCACATTGTGAGTCCATCACAGAGACCTTGTTAGATGTGTGATCATAGACCACACATATCACATGGACATATGTGTGATCACTCAGTTTCAACAATGGTTGGTGCAAAATCCTCTGGTTCTTCACTGAAGTCCCACTTGAACTTCTTGATGAGGTGAGTTTTGAACAGAACACCCCTCTGCTTCAGAGTCTGTGGTATGTTCTCATCCTCCAGGTTAGAGAACAGGGTGTGCAGAGTATGCACCAGGAAATTCTCCCTAGACATGATGTCTGTGAAAAAGTCCTCTGGCACCTCCTGTATCTGATAATGCAAACATGAAAGTAGCTTGAGGAAAAGGTCTGGGTACTTCCCCAGTGCCTCATCACATGTGCAGAACATGTGGACCAGCCTCTTCCAATGTTCAAAAGAGTCATACACATGACCAACCAGGAATGCTACAAAGGCTACCTGCAGCTCCCCCAGAAGGTGGTCTGGACTTGGAACCACCTCAAGCATACTCTCAAGCTTTTGTGAGGAGTCCAGTGAGTACTTGGTCTTGAACTCTGGAGATGCATCTTCTAGACACTGAACTGATGGAAGCTGAGTAAATCTCAACTCAGTGCCATGCCTAACATGCATTTTGGGCAGCATCTTTTCCTCAGACATGACACCACCTCCACCAGCCTCCATTTCCTCTTCATCATCTGGCTCTAGCTCTGATGCTGAGCACAATGTCCCTGACAGCGGATTCACTTTTTGGATCAGATCTTCATAAACATGTGATGTCAGGGAGTACCACTGCTTCCAAGTTTCATAGGGAAAAGCTCCTAAGAACCTGTCCAATTCTCTTTTATTCGCTTTGATTTGATCCTCATCACTGTCAGATGTCTCCACCAAAGTTTTCTGAGGATGGATCCCACTTACGAACAAAGACTTCTCTCTCCCTGAACATGTGAAATGAGCTTGTCCTTGGTGCAGGTACACCCTCTTTGCCAACTGCACTGTAATGCAACATGTGAAACCCAGGAGGTATCATCTTCAAACCCTTGAATCTTTCTCCAGTTCTCCAAACATTCATGTCAATGCCAACCTCTGTGTTTTGAGGCACATCTAAAAACACTACTGTTGCTCCCCCCTCAAACAGAAGTTTTGCTGTTTCAGGATCCATGACTTGCACAATCCTACCAAATGCACAGATTTGCTGATAGCTCACACCACTGATAACTGTTGGGTTTCTTGGAACAGGGAACCTTTATGCACAGGGTCTCCCGCCCCCTTTCTCTCATGCGCCTCAGCTGCAATGCGACTCAGCTGTATCGTTGAGCACGCCGCACGAACGTTTGGAAGCAAACATACAATGGAGCATTCGTGGCGCGCCTGGACCGAAACCTGCCATATTTTCAGCCTCTTACAAATGCATAGGCAGATCACTCACGTTCTGGAGCGTTCTCTGGAACGTCTGACATCTTCACCTTCCCTTGTCGCGAATGAATGATAACACAAATACCTCTCGACACCAATGAAACCAACTCCCGACCACTCGCACAACACCCCGCAACAGAAGTACCCACTACGGACTGTGTTCTCAAAGAGGTGTTAGCGGCAAGATTTCATACCAGTTCTGTGATTGGCTAATATTTTCACATTATGAAATATCATTGGTGAATTCACTAACAATGTTCCAATCTAGGGTGCTACGAACATGCAAGCGTCTATATCTGGTAGCTCATATATAGCTGCTAGGTAAGGTCAAAAACTTGCCTCAGACGTGAAAGAAAGGTGTTCGCTGCGTCAGCGTGCGTCAGCACAACTGGCGTACCGCGGCCCAGCGGCTAGAGCCAGTGATGTAGTCAGAGGGGTTGCAGGGAGCGGGTACCTTCGCAAAATGAGTTGGGGCGGGGGGAGCTGATTGATGAAATTGGATACAACCTAGATTAAAGACGCCATCGAACGGGGTTATCCCCGGGATGCGCCCACTTTCTTCTTAAACTTGAGGGCTGCTGAAATAAAGGGCTTGTGGCCCCCCTCAACTGAACATAAAACTGCACCCCTGCTTGCTGGAGTGCATTATGCGCCCGCGCTCGCCTCTGGCGCTCGTGGAATCACAGTGCAAACGTTTCGTTGATATTCAAGTCAGCTTGCATTTGCAATATACAATTTTGTTGTCCTTAATCGAAGACAATATTATCTGCATCATGCTAGACAAATGGTACCATCGGACTTAACTGTGTCTTAACCTAAAAGGAGCGCGACCTGACAAACTCAACTGTCTACTGTCGCCCTTCTTTGACGTGCATATCAGTACATGCACAATTTGGTAAGGCAAGGGCACGTGCACCCGGCGCTCCCCCTGAATGCACGCAAAATCTGCGGGTGCGGATAGTTCGAGCGCAGATGTATGGTGGACTTAGCCATACAACAACCTATCACTTCCCCATCGTATTTACCAAAACGACCCCGTGCCGATGCGCTTTGCTTACAGTGCAAGCATTTTGCTCGGAACATCAAGACAGGCTTCCTGTGGCCTATCTCGACCTTACTTACCATCGTCAACCAAATGTTTCCAGCTATCCAGCTATCTCCAACTCTAACTCACATGTTCCACTATCAACACGAGTAAGATCTGAGAAAGGACGATATTAAGACCATGAATAAGAAAATAACTCACAAGGGCGCCGCAGTTTGCGGCGCCTCTTGGCATTTTCAATGTTCGATGATCAGTTATCCGTTAAGTTCGCAAACGCCCTGAGCCCGTGCGAGCCGGCCTTTGAGCAATGCACAGGCCGTCGGGCAGTCGACGCATCGGTGCATCCGCGACGGCGTTCGGTTCCTTCACTCGGCGATCATCCTCGATCGGCGATCACGTGCCTCGTTCAGAGACGTCCACCGTTTGGTGTTCGGCAAGTGTGGCCGCACATATAGAAAACGAAAGAAAGCGAACGAAAACATGGACGCGAAATCGAAGCACAAGTACAGCTCAAACATCCCCTTTACGCCGCGCAAGCTTTGTCTCGACACAGCCGAGAGACTGGCTCTGAGACAGAATCACATGGTCCGCTGCTCGGGACCATCTCACACACATCGTGGTGGCCGAACCCCCACGTGCTACGCCCGGCGATCACGTACCAAACGCCTGCTCTTTTCCACTAGTTTATTAGACATCAGTCGCCTAAGTGGAGGACAGCGCATTTACACATTAACACTTCATAGTCGGCGATGACGTTTAACGAACGAATCTCTAGTCAATGACTTCCAAAATATACGAAACTAGCCACTATCGGTCCCGCCCTCGCCCGGTAATTCCAGTGGAGTATGACCGTGCGGCGAGCGTGCCGCGCCGCGCGGTGGGCGACGGTCAGCCCGGTGTCCGCGACCGTGCGACCACGCACCCACGCTGACTTCGTGCCCTTTAAAACCTACTCAGTTCCGGTTACCTACGCGCAGTGATGGTTGGCGTGTGGCCACAGAAGTACGTGTAAATCGTCCCAGAGTGGTGTAGACAAGCCAAAGGCACCCAAGCAATAGCAGTGCGGCGGGCACCGGTCACCATGCCTCACAACACGAAGACACACGCACAAATAAAACAACAGGTTGCCCACGGCGCCTTCTCCGGTTTGAGCAACATTAAAAAAACGTGTTGTACCATCTTTGGGAATAGGGATCTGTTCAGGAGCGGCGCGGCGCGGGGCGAGGGCTGCGCTGGCCTGGGCTCGCGGGCGCCCCCCGCGGGCCGGGCAGGATCACAGTAGGGCGGCGCGCGGCTCGCGCGCGCGCGCGCGCGGGCTGGCCGCTCACTCAGGCTTCTGCGGGTCGCGCTGCTTGCGCCGCGCGCCGGTGGACGGGTCGGGCTCGACGGTGGCGCCGCTGGTGGCGTTGCGCGGCACCAGCAGGATGCTGCCGTCTGCCGACTGCTGCAGGCTGTACTCGAGCGGCGAGTACGGGTTGCCGTCCGGGTCCCGTAACGACTGTCGGGCGGGAGGCGGGCGTCAGTCTGGACCGGGCCGGCCGCAAACTCAACACGACAGACACCGCCCCGTAACCGTCACCACGTCGACGAACCACCCGCAGCCCTACCAATGGTCAAGTGATGTATACTGGGACGGGTAGCCCAGGCGACGGCGTCTGCAGTACCGGAGAAACAAACCGACCGTGAACACACAGGGCCTGCATGACTCCGTTGCAATTTTTTTGTATCACTTACTAAATCCACACTGGCCAGTAATTCGCAATCATTAACACGGCACACAAGGACAGTCGCTCGATAACGTACAAAACATTACGCAATCAATCACCACACATTTACGAGGCGCATGGTGGCGCAGCGCCTGCTATCAGATAGCACCGAGCCCTCCTCGGCAGATCTGCCGTCTTCCCAGTCAACTCGGTCGCCGACTATTGACAGATCCCATCTTTCGTTCGTGGGAGGGACACTATCGGATGCCGCCCAGCCAGGCCGGCGAGCCTCGAGCGCGGCCGCGCTAACCCCTGCACCGCGCTCGGCCGCCGGCGCAGCCCGAGGCGCGGCGTGCGCTCGCCGGACACCGCCGCGCTCACCTGGAAGACGTGTCTGTACAGCTGCGAGTACTTCTCCTTGATGCGGCTGCGCTCCTGGCTCAGGAACTGGTGGTCGGCCAGCGTCTGCTGCTTCTGGTCCTTGGCGCGCTGCACCTCCTCGGCCAACGTCAGGATCTGGTCCAGCTTCCGCTTGCGACAGTTCTGCGCGGCCAGCTGCGGGGGCAGGGACGGGCGGGGTCAGCGAGCCGGCGCGGCGGGCCGCTCTGGCTGACCTCCCGGGGGCGGGCGGGGTCAGCGGCTCGGCGCGGCGGGCCGCTCTGGCTGACCTCCCGGGGGCGGGTGGCGTCAGCGGCTCGGCGGGCCGCTCTGGCTGATCTCCAGGAGGCAGGCGGCGTCAGCGGCTCGGCGCGGCGGGCCGCTCCAGTCTACCTCCGGCGCCACGGGACGCCACACCGTAGGCCCAAGACACGATCACCAACAGACGGACCACGCTACCGGCCGACGACCACAGCAGGGTCACGGGTCCTCGCGACGGCAGACGTCTCAGACCACGCACAGGTGTGGGCGGGGTTCTCTAAGCACGCAGCTTGGCTGCATATTTAGCCTGGGAACATCCTATCTGCAGAACATTCACAGCAAGAAATGCAACTACAATGACCAATCTGCGCAACCTATTACAAAACCAGCAAACATCGAACTCGGTTAAACTGAAACCAAGCGTATTTCCTATATATCTGCACAGGAGCCTTAACAAACGCCCGACACTCGCAGGCTCCGTTGGTCGTAACATTGAGTCGGGAGCGGATCCCAGCCGGCGTCGCTGGCTTCCCGCGCGGGGGCAGCCGCCGGACACACCTTATTCTTGCCGCGCCGCCGGATGTCCCTAATGAGGCTGAGCTGCGCCTCGGTCAGATCGTGCTTGGAGAGCCGCTCGTTGAACTCATCCATCGGCAGGTGGATGATGTCGTCCGTGCTGAGGGGGATGCTCATGGCGCGCGCGCGCTTCTCGTCCCGCGTCAGGTGCTCCTTGGGACGCTCGCCGTCTGGCGGGTCAGGTCACGCCAGGTCAGGTTAGGCCAGCGGGCCGGGTTGTGTCAGGTCAGCAGAACAGAGCGCGGTCGTCGCTGGACGGCAGACGTGCACGGCACGAGCGACAGCGGTGTCGACGCAGACTACCGCGACGCTCCTCCGGCTGGGTGGGAGCGATGTCCGAATGGACCAGGAGGACGCGACGGCGTTCGGGTACCTAGCCGTGTCTGGTTTAAAGAGTTCGTGGAGAATGTCGGTTCGTGATGACGATGCTCGGTTGGACAGAAGGCGTTTAAAGAATGGTGCCACTGGGTGAAAGCAGCAATGAGTTATATGCACGCACAACGAGAATGTTCGCACCACCTTCCCTGCTGTAACATGTGTTTGTTTTCTGTTCCTAGCACAAAACCCGGCAGCAAACCCCGTTGGCACGGTTACACAATACACAAACGACCTGAAATCCCTCAGCCGGGTCGCATCACTGCCGCCAGCCATGGCGCTATGGCCTGCCCCGCACCGCCGGCCACCCAGCCAGCCGCCGCCGGGGAGCGGCCACCCCTGCCGCCCCGGCTCTCACGTTTGTCCCTGGCCAGGGGCCGCTGCACGCCGCTGGGGCCCTCTGTCTGCGGCGGCAGGTGGTAGCTGTGGTTGTGCGACACCAGACCCATCCGGTCGCCACCAGGGTGCTGACGGAAGAGGCGGCCGTCAGCCGACGCGCAAGCTCGACACGGCGCAGGCCCGACACCGACAGCCGTGGCTAGGACCGGACGCAACATCCAGAAGACGGACTCAGCGTCCAAAACATGCACAGCAGGGAGTGAAGCCTGGCATGAGCTAACGTATACGGCACGAGCTAACGTAACGATAGCTGCAAGCGTTTGTTACTTGTGTCAAAGCAACGCTCATTCTGCTTCTGCGCCAGTGCCGCACGGTTAAAATGAGTACAGCCCCGCCCCCCCCCCCCCCGAACGAGTCTTTGAAAACTCGGTCACCCATTACACAACCACAGAAGAATGATCCCTTCGCTCCTAACAACACGCGCTCGAAGCACAACGCCAGTCGCCGTTTCTCCTGGGCGTTTGCCGCCCGGTGTCTTTTTCTGCCCTCTCCACCGTTCACACGGCCGCCCACCCCACCGTGGAGAACCCCACGGTCCAGCCGGTCCCCGCAGCAGCACTCACCCCCCTCATGAAGTCCATGCTGCAGCTGTACTTGAGCTCCGGCGAGTCGAGGCCGGCGGCGGCTTCGGCGGCGCCGGGCGTGGCCGGCGGGTAGGCAGGGTGGCCGGCCGGCGCACCGCCCTCCGCCCCGTACGGCGTGTATTTGAGCGTTGCTGCTGGCGACGGCGAGCCCGGCGGCAGCACGCTCGCGCCGGCCGGGCCCGAGCCGCCGTACGCACCTGGCGGCCGGCGGCGCACGGTCAGAGGCGGGCGACGGCGTCACAGCAGCTGGCCACGCCCCATCGGCAGCGTCACCGCGCGCGGGGCGCATTGGCGGCGACGCTCGTCGTCAGCGGTTGGAACAGGACGCCAGCTTCACCGCTTGTGCACGATAAGGGCACATGTGAAGCAGAACACATGCTGCTGGACAGAAATGACGCCACCCACTTCTCTGGATTGGCCGTTTAAACATGATAAAACATTCGCGACAATCATGCCAACTCTGAGCATTCCGGAATGACGCAAGAACAGCGCGTCCAGCCGCCGGCGCCGCTGCCGCTGCCCGCGTCACGCAGCGGCTTCTTACCGTCCGGGCCCTGAAAGTAGCGTTTGCCGAACATCTGGTGCTTCTTCTGAGCGACCGGCAGACTGGCGGCCCGGGAGTCGTGCGGCTGGCCAGGCGCCGCCGGAGACGCCGCCGCCGCCGCCGCCCGGTACCCGCCGTACTCGTACAGCCGATGAGCCTGCGAAGCCCTGCGGCGCGGCGCCGGGCGTCAGCGCGCTGCGAGACGGCACAGTGACGCGCTGTGCGGCAAACTCGAATCCTTTGGTCGGTCCGCGGCGGACGCTCAGATGTGGTATAGATCGTTTCGCTGTTGTGCACGATTAACTGGTGCTTCACACCACTTCAAGGGTACATATGCGATACAACAGGCCACTGGAGCACGCGACGCAGCCAGAACAGTTGACCCAGTGCAAAGCACCCTGGCCAGCCCCTCTGCCGCGCGGCGGGCGGCGGCGGAACGGCACTCACTTGGCATAGTCGGCCGGCGAGGAGTACTGGTCGTCCGCCCCGCTCGTGCTGACCCACTCAGGATGACCTGCGGCCGGGAGCACGGCGTCAGCCATGGCGAGCCGCGCCGCGCACACAGCTGCAAACGGCCGCCGCCAAGGCGCGGCTCCGCGGACCGATAGGTGACGTCACGCAGGCGCACACACACACCGCTCTGCAGGCAGACGGCGGCCAGACTGCAGTGACATCACACCCGCGTACACACGACTCAACGCGGCCTGCCGGCGGCGGCGCCCTTGCAGCGGCCGTGCCCTTGAGAACGTACGGCACGGTCGGCGCCGGGCCGTCCGCGGCGCCGCAGCAAAGCACGCCGGCGGGGTGCCGCCGTTCCGGTCGGGGTCGCGTCCCGGCGGCACCAGCCCGGCCTCCGCTGGCGCCGTACCCGGCCGCGGCCACAGCGCGGCCAGCTGGCCTCTCTCCGGCGGCGCGGAGCCGCGCGACACTCGGAGGCGGACGCCCCCGGCCGCCAGCTGCACCACCACTCCGAGCGGAACCACGAGGCCAGAGGACACAGAGGGACGGCGGCGGCGTGACGGCAGCAGCGGCGACGGCGGCAGCCGCGACACAGAGCCGCGACTAGCCGCCTCGCTGATACCCAGGCCAACAGATACGCTATCTGGCAAGACGCAGGCAGCGAAAGTACACGGGAGCCCTTATTTTGGCTTGTGCAATCCAGACAGCCTGTAACAAAGAGCGACTAGATGCGTCATGGCTATAGGGCGGCCAGACCGGCAGCCAGAGCAGTGCTTCGGCGGAGTCTAAAGAGCGCCCCTGCGGGCGGCCGAGAGTACCCACAGGACCAGGAGCGGCGCACCTCGGCGCCCTCCCCGGACGCCGTCGGCCGCAGCCGTCCCAACGCCACCTACCGGCGAGCGGCACGCATGGTGTCTGGTGGCAGACGCCGGGCGCGGTGAACAACACGTATTGCCGGCAGCAGGGACAGGTGGGCGGCGCGTAGGAGGGCGTGTAGACCGGCCGCGCCGCCGGCAGCATGGCAGGTCGCGGCGCGGCGGACGCGCGGCCGACGTCTAGTGATACTTGCACTGAGACGGCGGGCCGCGCATCGCCGGGCGCCGCTGCGCTGCTCGCTCCGCGTCCGCCTGCGGCCGCGCTCTTGTCGCTAGTCCTGAGCCACCGCCGCCGCCGAGCGAGATACCGGCCCCGCTTATCGGCCGGCGCCGCGCCCGCCGCTGTCGTCGGGCGCCGCCGTAAGACGCCACGGCCGAGCAGGGCCGCGGCGCGGCTGCGGGCACGACGCGCACCGTGGGAGTATCGTGCCTCAGGGCAGGGGCGGTGAGGGCGTGACGCGCCACCGCCCCTGCCTCCGAGGCCCCCGGGCTTATCGGGTATAGTCGGCGGTCCTCGTCATATCTCTGAAGCGGACTGAAATGTCGACCAACGCGCCCGCATGCTCAACTCCTCACCAGACCCAGCCCGGTGGTCCAAGTACTCGCCGGGCCTAAAAAAAAAAACAAGCCCACGCCCCAAGCGAACACGTGCGGCGGACAGCAGTGGACGGCATGTTGCGAGAACCGGCACAGGACTTCGACGATCGAATCGGCCGGAACACGCCTATGAGCCGGAACAAGGCGGGTCAGGAGGCAGCTCGAAAGAACTTGCCGGGACAGACGGCGACCGGACGGGCGAAACAAAGCTCTGCTTTAGAGCAGAGTTGGTGGCGTCTCACGCACTCGTGCTCACAAGCCTACGGAAAGCCGCGACCAGCCGCGAGGCTCCTACGGCTGCCTGCCGCTCTCCTGGGTTCGCTTCGGATCCAGAAGAAACGGAATAGAAACGCCTGATGAACCCGTGCCAAGCTGCATAACAACAAAGCCTTAACCAACTTAGGCGGAATGATCGCACATTTCACCACAGCCCACGCAGAAGGTATGTTTTGTGGAACAATCGATCCGATCTGAACACGAAAACATCGCCATTCGCACGACCCCTGGCGCGCTGTCCCAACGCCAAACCACTCTCAAACGCTGAAATGCTGATGCTGAAGACCATACTGACGTCACGCCATCGGAGCGGCCATCGCGCTCGCTGTGCGGTGGAACGGAGCAGCCCTCCCCGGCCAGCGACACGCCAACAAGCGCCACTCAGTTCAGACTGGGCGTGATAATCTCCGCAGCCAGCTGCCGACCGCCGCTGACGGAAAAGGCGGGCGCTGGTCCCGCTTCAGCACGCGTCTCACCGTCGGCAATGGGCATCTCCATCAGCTGCAGCTCGTCGACGCCGAGTATCTGCGAGAGGAATCCGCCGTCGGGGCCGCCGGCCGGCGCCGGCTCGGGGCCGGCCGCGCCCGGCGCCGCGGCCGTGCTCGGGTAGTACATCATTTCGGCACCGGCGGCGCTAGTGGCGGCCGCGTGCGCGTGAAGCCCGTCCGTGGTCAGGTTCATCGAAGAGACCACCGCCGAGCCGATGTGGGAGACACTCCCTGCCGGCGCCGAGATAGCTCAGTGTCAGGGTCAGTGTCGGGGTCAGCGGCAGATGACGAGGCGCACAAGAGGCAAGCAGACCGCGGCCCACAAGCCGGTCACGGTCCATCCAAGTCCCGCTGCGCCCGGATCACATTCAATCCTGCACAGATGCAAGGCGGGCGCGCCGAACAGCAAAGCGTTCTGAACCAAACATAACCACCCATAAACTGTGCGAGGCACATACTGGCGTGTCCCCATGCCCAAAAGGGCGACGTCAAATCGACTGCGCATTCCAGTACCAAATCGCCTCATTTCGACCGAAGCCGACGCTCGCCCTCACTGGGCCCCACCGGTGCCAACAGCCTGCGGCGGCGCCTGCTCGTCCGGGCGACACACCTGACTGTACGACGGCGGCCGGCGCGCAGGGCGGCGCGCGCTGCGCCGCCTCCGCCGGCTCCGACTGACCCATGCTGACGTTGGCGTAGCTGCCGTTGGCGGCCAGGTCGCCGACGGGCGGTGCCAGGCTGGCGTTTTGCAGCAGCACCGAGCGCGCCATGTCCGGGTGGCCGGCCGGCCCGTACGCGGCCGGGTACGGGTAGCCGTGGCCGTGGTGCGTGGCCAGCATGTGCTGGTGGGCGTGCGTCATGTTGGGGTCCTGTGGAGGCAGCGACAGCAGGCTGGCCAGGTCCTGCCAGCGCTGCTCCATGCTCATCGTCCGAATGAACGGCAGACGACCCTGCCGACCGGGCCGGACGCGGTCAGTGTCGGGCGGGGTCAGTGTCGGGCGGGGTCAGCGCGGGGTGAGGTCACAGTCGGGCGGGGTCAGCGCGGGGCGGGGCCGGGCGGGAGCGGCCGCGCACACGCCTGTACTGGAATACGAGTGAGCATACAAGTGAGCGCACACGCGCTGAAACACTCCACGGATGACCGGAGAACGCGAGGAACAAATCTGATAATTCACTAAATCACTCCTGATGTCACTGAAAAATCGTGGAATTACTCGTCAAATATTGATGCAGATTTAGGCGTAAAGTGATTAGCTTTGGCACGTCCAATTTCCGGGATCATCTAAACTAACAATCGTACAGCTTTTATCGCTTCCCTGCGATGGACTCGATTAGACTTCGGCACATGGCACACAAGCACAGGTGGGTGAGGCGTGCAACACGGACATGCATCAGCGACCAGTACCGCTTACCTCCGGGAGATGATGTTTTATGCCCATACATTGGCATTTGACGCACGGTTCCGTGCGTTCAGAAAAACAAGCTCAACAGCAATACTTCTCTTCGAGTTCTTGCCGATTTTGACGCCTTTGCCTCGTCGGTCGGAAGGCGACTAGACCGAGCTCAACTACAACTACTATCTCGCTGGCCGACTAGCAGTATACCTTGACATCGCAGCGTTCTTGTCCGCCTGCGGGGCCATGCTGGTGCCGCGTTCCTGCCGGTGGACCGTGACGATGACAGAGCGGCCGAGCGGAGCCGATTGCACGCGGCCGCGGTGACCAGCTGCCAGGCGCCCGCCGCGCCCGGCCGACAGCTGATCAACACGCGCAAAATGAGCCGCACATTACGGACGTCGTTTGTCCCCGCTACCGGGGCGGGGCTTTTTGCCGTGCCGCGCGGCCAAATTAGTGTCACCGGCGGCCCCCCGTCTGCGGCGGCGGCGCGCGGTAAAAACGTCCGTCGGCGCGGCGGCCGCCGCCGCCGGCACTGTCGCGGGGCGACCCAGAGCCGCCGCCCGCCCGCGACGCAAAAACACCCTATCTGATCCAAATTAAAATTCATGACAAATTGTCCGAGCCGGGTGTGCAGCAGGTAATGGGCGGCGCGCCATTCATCAGGCGCACCGGAACGCGCACCGGCGCGCCATGCCGCGCGCACGGCGTCGAATCAATTAAACTGTTGAGCCATCCTGTCAGCGCGTCGACGGCGGCGCCGTGCACAATGCGCGCGCCGGCGCGTTTTGGCGCGACAACATCCGCCGCGCCGCTGTGCTTCCGACCGGCGGCGGGCGGCGCGCGCCCCGCCCCGCGGCGCCGTGGCGGCCGTTCCGGCGCGGCGCGCGGTCGGCCGGGGCCGCGGGGCGGGTCCACGCGTTAGTCGCTCGTCAGCCAGGGCGCTGGCGACGCGCGACCTGCGCCCGGATAGCATCGCGCCGCGCCGAGAGGGCATAATTCAATTTCACACCTTTGCGGGGCGGTGATGGATGGCCGCGATTTCATCTAACAATTTATTAATTTGTGAGCAAATCGCGCGAGGCGGAGGCCGGCAGCGCGGCGTGCAGCCCTGGCGGCGATTCGGCATGCAGGCGCGCCGCGCGGTGATCGGTCACCGGGGGGAGGCGGCGCGCGGCCCGGCCGGCGCCGCGACACCGGCCCGACCCACAAAGCCCCGGCAGCGGCGCGCCGACACCGCTGGCCGGCAAATCAGATTCAACCGGCCGCCGTCGCCGTTTGAATTCCGCGTTCATAAATCATCGTTCCGGGGCGCCAGCGACGCAGGTACAAAGCGGCGCAGGCGGCCGCGTGCGCGCGCGACGCGTCGGCCGGTGGCGACCCGGCGCGAGGGCGGCGGCCGGAGCGCGCAGGCGGCGGCCGGGCCGCGCGGGACGGCGCCGCGCCTCCGCCGCCGCCCTCCCGGCCCGCCGTCAGGGGCCTACTGAAGTCGTGTCATCAATCACTGGCGAGCAACCGACTGCGTGAAGGTCGCGACCGTCGCGCGCCCAAACGGTGTGACCTTACGGCGCGCGGCCGGCCGGAGATGGAGCGGCCGCCGACTCGAGGAAGGCCGCGCGCCGCCCGGCCCGGCCACACCTGCACTCCTCGCGCACTGCACTGCGCCGATCAACACCGGCGCACTCAACCCCGCAAAAACACGCCGACATCATTCACAACGCGGGCCGTCTACGCGCCGCTTCACAGAGCAGTATGTTTTTCGGCGGCCCAGCGGCGGCGCGACGCCCGTGCCAGGGAGCCGACGCCGCCCGGCCCGGCCGGCTCGGCGACCCCGGGAGCCGGGCGCGGTCCGGCGGGAGCCGCAGGAGCCGGCTCCGCTCGGCCGGCAGCCGGCCGGCCGTGTCGCGGCGACGCACTCGGCGCGCATTTGTCACACTCATCAGCTGGAGGTCAAGTTCTGGGCCGGCGCGCGGAGAGAGCGGCGCGGCCGGCGGCGGCGACGGCGAACCCCCGCCGGGGAGCACAAGGCTGCCGGCCGGGCGCGCGGCCCGGCCGGCCGCCGGCGCCGCGCCGACGCCGACCGGGGCACCCGGGCTCCGCACCACGTCAGGCAAGGGCATGCAGGGCTTCCGAACAACGCGAGGAAGGTGCATGAGCTCTGCAGTTTTCGTACTACGTAAGGTAAGAGGACACCTTTGCCAGATACCACGTCAGGAGAGTAATTGGGATTCGGTACCATGACACGCATGCACCTGGCCTTCCGTTGCGCGCCAGTCAAGTGCCTGGACTTCCACACTACGTCAGACAGGTACCTGACCCATCGCACAAGTCAGACAAGTGCACGCTTCCCCTCATAGGTCCTTCGTACCTCGAGAAACGCAAAAACATGGGGTTTCGTAGTGTTTTCGCCACACATCTAGGCTACCTCTCCGCTCTGAACGGATGTCTCGGCCGCAGGACCAGCCACACAGCCCGCTTTCCACACCACGTCGGCCGCACAGCCAGCCTTCGGCGCCACTTCTCTCCGGCACCTGACCTTCAACAGCACGTCCGCATGGCAGCCGGCCCGGCCGTCCCGCCAGGTCGGCCGTGCACCTCGCCTTCAGCGGCCTACCAGCCGTGAGCCCATCCTCCTCACCCGCCGCGACACCGCATCAATGGGGCAGAAGATGAATGAATGCAACGCTGATTGATTTGAGCGCGATCTGAACAGTGCTATTAGCACGCCAGCACGACACAATGAATACTAACTACTGATAGCGGCGGCGATACGGTCCCCATCAGCGCGCGCGGCCGGGCGGCCGGGTGGCCGGGCGGTGGCGGCCGCCGCTCCGTCCCTCTCCACACCGTGCCGCCGGGCGGCCGGCGGCTCGCCCCAGCGGCACGGCCGCCGCCGCCGCCGCTGCAATGGTGGCGCTCATCAGTATGCCGGCCGGTGACAATGGCGACGCGACGGCTCGGGCACGCCGCCCGCTGACTGATCGGACGGCCGCCTCTGTAAAGCCGGCCCGCTTCCATTCAGCGCCGGCGCCCGTTTTCACAAAACGACACCGAAAAATGGTCGCGCCTCCATCACGCCCGCGCCCTGCAACGCTGACAAATGCGCTGATTGCACGGCCGGCCCGGTGCATGGGCGCCCCGTGTGCAGATGATGTGATCACGTCGCGCGCATTAGTGGGAGCGCGCGTCGCGGCGCTCTCGCGCTCCCCTCCCGCCGGCCGCTTTGTGCCGCAAATGGTGGCCGCCGCCGCGCCGAACGGGACGCCAGAGGAGCCATGAGGAGCCATAAGGAGCCATGCACGCTGGCAGCCGGCGGCCGTCTCTCGGCGCACCGGAGCGGAGGCGCCGCCAGAGCCCGGGCGTGAAGCCGGCACCGGGGACGAGCCCTCCGCACCGGGCGAAGCTTTGGCAATTAAGTGCAATAGCACACGCTAAAACGACAATCCTAACAGAACGAACGGAGGGCTTCCCATTGTGACGAGGGGCGGAGAAGCGAAACTCTCAGTGAGCTGCATTCGAATGAGGAGTCAGTTTATGAATCTGCGTCCAAGAAGGCCAACGCTAACTCGCACAATGGGGAGCGGTCTCTCAAAATAACCACGAATAGATAAATGAAAAGCCGAATTTAATTTCACTGCCCACACGAAAACCCTTGGTGGCCTCGACCGCTACATTGTCCTGATGCCAGATCCGGAAATATATGTTTACATTTGCAGCTCGTCCCATGATCAATTGATCTGCTTTTGAAACAATGCACTCGGTGGGAATACCCCTGCTTGTCGCAGCCAGTTTCCTAAAATATAACCAGTAAAAACGCCCACCATTTCAACCATGCACGTAAACAAGCGCAAGCGCGACCTCTTCCTTTGTCCGCCTTCACTGTGGGTGTGTACATATGCGACAGCAATGCATACTCAGGACTCTCCGGAACATATCACGCTTGCCCTAACCCGGAGCACACGCGGGTGGGAAGCCACGATCCGTTGCCTTCCATTTGGACCCAAACACATTAATTCTCCGGCCGACCTCTTCCGGATGTTGTACTGCAGCCGACGCGCGTGCACAGTCCGGCTGTCGGGCGATCCTGCGCCAATCGCGCTCACAAACTGTGCACAAGGCAGAGGTCGCCTCCAGGTCCGGCCAGCCAGACATTCTACAAGTTCAATTAAACATGACATTGCTCGGAGAACAATGCGATCTAGCGGGTGTTTTTGAATGATGTTCAGAGTTGTTACCCTCCATACGTATTCCTTTCCAATGAGTTGGATAATCACGCGGCCGGCTGTGCAGTGCAACCTCATTCCGCGTGTCTCTGAGGCAATTAAGTGCTGCTATGATGCCATACGATTCTGTTCTTCCACAAGCACCACGCCGTTTTGAATTCACGTTGCCGTTCTGGGAATACCCGCATTGTATATTACTGTCCGCAGCCGACGAAAACTGCCCAAAGCAACAAATACAGCCCGACCCAACTGCGTCATGGGATGCCGACCTCGCGGCGTATATACGGGCCCCAGATAGCACCGAGCGCCTGCCAAACAGTCGCCCCGAGATGGGGGCCGCAGATAGCGGCGTATTCCATATCCGACGTCAGATAACGACCGACGGGCTTCTGCGCTCACAGAGCGGCGGCGGCGGCAGCCGGGCCGCCGCCGCCGCCGCCGCACCAGAGAGCGCGGTGACGGATGGCCGCCGTGTCGGACGCGCCTCTCGGGCGCCGCGCCGGTGCGCCGCGCGGCCCGTGACCCGCCGCCCGCCCCTCGCCGGCCGCGCCGCGCTGAGTTGCCGATATCGGCCGGCCGCGCCGCGCCGTCTGCACGGCAGCGCCGTGACGGCACAGATCATCCGGCGGCGGCGCCCGCCGGCCGCCCAGGGGTCACGGCTCGGCGCGGCACGCGCCCAACTGGGTCAGCAGGCGTGACCGGGACGGGCCGGGCCGGCGGGCGCGCACCCCGCCACCGGCGCGCGGAGGGCCAGTCGGCGCCAACGCTTTCGCAGCCGACATCTGCCGATCACGCCGCGCTCTGCTTCCCACAGCCGATCTGACTCCGCGTCTGCCGACGGCCCGGCGAGCACGCAGCGCAGGCGTCTTCCAATGGCCGCCGGACAGGGGATGAGAAGGCTCTGGGTTAGGAATAACGCGCATGGCTCTTAGCGTGGCAAGCGCTATGTCACATACGAGTAACTGCATCGCGCAATTGCAACTCAGCACATCAGTCATGTTCAAGGCTCGTTCATCGTCATGCGAATGCGCAATTGCTCC